GTGGGAAAAGGGAGACATCATCTCTCCCTCACCCATTCCACCATATAGTAGATGAAGGGGGCGGGGCAGATCTTCCATGTGCATTCCAGGCGGCACCAGATCACCTGTGCCTCTGTCAGCTGGGTCAGCTCTATTATGCTGCCTGGGCTAGGCACAGGTCCTGCTCTCCCAAGTGCTGCAGCTGGTGAGGGTCAAGGTCAGCTTCCCCACTCTAATGACCCCAGGATCAGCTTTTACCGCCTGCAGTAGGTGTCTAGGTGTCCAGGGGCCAGGAGCAAGTCGGGGTCAGCTCTTACATTCTTGCATATATAAGGCTGGTTCACCTGCACCACTGTTAGCAGGGACAGCTCTACTGTGTTGCCTGGGGAAGTGCAGGGCCCACTCTCCAGAATGGTGCAGTTGGTGAGGGGCAGGGCCAGTTCTCCCTAGTGCTACCTAGGTGGATTTTTATGGATCTTTTCCCTGCTTTGAGTGTTCTAGGTTTTGTTCATTGATTAAAAAAAGAAACATCTGGGATAAACAACTTACAGGAAGACTCATTGACTCAGGGTTTCAGAGGTGCCTGGGCGTAGTGGACTTGCTCCCTTGTTCTTAAAATGTGGTGATGGTGAAGATTGGGGCTGAATGGCATGGCAAAGAATGTTTTCTTCTTGACACACCATCATCTGGGGACCAAGTCTCCAACACATGGACCACTTGAGGAAGCAATTCATATCACAACCGTAAGATGATAAACATTATTTCCTCAGTGATTGGGTGGCATCTTCCTGCTGTCCCTGTAGGCTCTACTTCGCAGGACAGACATATTAGGTAAAACCCACTTCAACTTTTATGGGACAGAATTTACCATTTGAGCCCCATCAGGATGAAAACAAGCAGTCAATGATAGAAGAAATATGTTTCAAAATTAAATATGACTGTGATAAACGAAAAAGGCTCTCTTTTACAATGGTGCATCTTATGATGTGATGCTTAGCTATCATCACAAGGAATTTGGTAAAATTTGATTCTCCTGATTTTTGAAAGGGTCAGGCCACAGGAATGAAATCAAGAAAACATGGAGAAATGGGGACTAAGAATACAAATGAATGATAATACTAGGTACATACACAAAATAAACAATCAAGAATACTTACTGGCATTGATTTGGAAATAGGTGTGTTGTGGGTAAGAAGCAAAGCAATGCTCATGGGAATGTGGAGGATTTTTTTCTTCTGGGTTGTGCAGTTTCAACCTTAAGAGTTGCCTTCATTGAAATATGAATAGTCATTGGTGATACAAAAGTAAAGACATTGTTTCCAGCTGACTCGAGCTGAGCATCCTATCAGCATTATTGATACCTAATTGGAAGCACTTCCTTTTCCTTCAATTGTCCTCATCTTTCCTAGAAGCACAATTATTTGCCTGGACATCCACTCTAATGAGCCGATAATCGTTTCTTTGTCCCACACCCAATCAATCACTCAGCAAGGCTCAAGGATTAAAGCTGGATGTGTGTTCTCCTTTCCTTCCCACGCTGCAACCTCAGTCCAGGCGTTCACCACCTCTCTCTTGTTTCTTAAACACAGCCTCTATCCTGACATATCAGTCCATGTCTTGCCTAATCCCCATTCCTTCCACACCTGTGTGATTTATGCTATGTTCACTACCTGATCACAATTTGGGTTGCCCACTTACCTGCAGGGATTATAAACCTCACACTTCTGGGTTTGCAGCAGCCTATTGTACTCCATTCTATTTTAGTACTGTAGTGTTGGAAAAGGCTTCCTGTCTGCATACACTTTGCAGAACATGAATTCTTCAAGGCAAAAGCCTAATTTTATTTATATTTTTATTTCTGATACCAATTATTAGTAGGGAGCCCTCCCTCACATCTCACCCTTTCAGTTTTTCTTTTTCACATTCTGTTTCCTCTTTTTCTTCATATCTAGTGATTCTTCAAAGTTTTAATAATGTAGCCTAAGCTGGGCACAGCAGCACACCCCTTTAATCCCAGAACCCTCAAGGCACAGTCAGGGATCAACCTAGATACCTGTGCGTTAAAAACCAGTCTTGTCCACATAACGACTTCCAAGTCCTTCAGGGCAATGTAGTGAGTGGCTGTCTCAAAAAGAAATGAAGAAACACACACACACACACACACACACACACACACACACACACACACACACAATGTAACCTTCTTGATAAAAACCTCCTACCATATCCCTCCAAAGGGTTGTTTGTTATTTAATCTAAAAACACTGCAACAACTTGTTTCCATGTCTTTCTCCTCTACTAAAGTATGAGTATCATAAAGGCAAAGCACATATCAAAACCTTTAGGAAAACACGATGATTTGTAAAGCATTTTAATGTCAAAAGCAACAATATGAGGATTGTTTTTATACTAGTGAACATTTTCAATGCATGTTTGTCAAATAAAAAGTTTTCATAAAAATACAAAAACCATAGCACTGAATGTTATTTGAGAAATCAGAAATTAAGTAAATAGCAACTTTTTTTTTGTTGTTGAAAAAAGATGGTCTAAATGATGTGCTGTCCCTAGAAGAAGTAGTGTCCAGGAAAACTGAGACAAATGAGTGATACAAGTCATAGAAATACTGGAATGTCATCAAGTACAACTCATAAGTTGTGCGATTTTGCGGGGGATAGCAATTAAATAAAAAGAACCCTGATAATGTCTTGCAAGTGATGCTGTTACTTTTTTTTTTTTTGGTTTTTTGAGACAGGATTTCTTGGTGTAGCCTTGGCTGTTGTGGAACTTTGTAGACCAGGCTAGCCTCGAACTCACAGAGATCCACTTGCCTCTGCCTCCCAAGTGCTGGGATTAAAGGCGTGTGCCACCAGCGCCCTGCTATGTTGTTATTTTTTAAAAAACTATTTTATATTTGTTTTATTTGTGTGTCTACGTGTTTTGCTTGCATGTGTATCTATGTACCACATGAATGCAGTACCGGCACAGGCCAGAAGAAGAAGAAGATGGATCCATTGGAACTGGAGTTACAGATGGTTGTGAGTCACCATGTGGGTGCTTTGAAATCAAATCTAGGTCTTCTGGAAGAGCAGCAAGTGCTGTTAACCACCTAGCTCTCTATTGCCCATATAGTTAGTAAAAAAAAAAAAAAATTAGGAATTTTTCATTTTTCTTTTCTTTTATCTTCTTTTCTTTTTAATCTTTTTCTCTTTTTTTCTTAGTTGCTTGCTGTTACCCAGATAATAAAAACCAACCACACGAAACTGGATCCCACTTGTTCCTTCTGCCCCCAGCCTACCTCCTGAGTCTTAGGAAGGGATCTAGAGTGGGAGGCAGGGGGAGTGGCCAGTGCCACCCGGAGGAAATGAAACTGACTCAGAAAGGGAAGTACCTCAAAAGAAAAATAAATAAATAAACAAAGTCCCCTCCTCTCCCTTTCACCAGGGTCGGGTTCTTTGCCCTAAGGCCCCAGGGAGCAGAGAGCACAGCTTCTAAGGTCCACTTCTCCAGAATTTGGTTAGATGGTGCCCGGTCAGGACCCTGAAGACCTCTACCAAGGGAACGGGGGAAGCAGAAATTGGCATCTGGAGTGTGCTCAGCCCCTGGCACGGGCAGGGAAGAGACCTCTGAGTTAGAAGAGCCCAGTCCCGTTCAGGGTGACAGTACTGAGGAAGTTCCCCAGGTGAGCCTGTGAGGAGTGTGCAGATTCAGCTTCCAGCCACAGCATGACGAGTCCTCCCCAGTGGATGGGCCCACTCAGTCTGTCGATTTGGGGTGAGGGATGGATTGTTCTAATTTCTTAAGATTTTTTTTAAGTCTTATTAAAGCCTTTTATTTTTAATCAGTTACAACTGATGGAAATATGCAAAATGTGCTTAAAAATCTCCCTTCTTGAAATGACTTAAATATTATTTTTTATTTTTTTATTTTTATTTTTATTTTTTTTTGGTTTTCCGAGACAAGGTTTCTCTTGTGTAGCTTTGCACCTTTCCTGGAACTCACTTGGTAGCCCAAGGCTGGCCTCAAACTCACAGAGATCTATTGATGTAACCAACCGTCTTATTAAATAAGAAACACAGAAACAATGTAAAAGAGAAAGCCGAGAGGTCAGAGCTCAGAGCTAAAATCTCACCCTTCCTCCTGCTGTCCCAGCTTCGTGAAAGAGACCTACTTCCTGTCTGTTCGTTTTTTTTAAAAGTATGTTGTTCTGCCTTCTCATTGGTTGTAAACCCAAACACATGACTGCCTCATCACTGTCTGAATGTACAGCCCCCTAGGTCTTAAAGGCATATGTCTCCAATGCTGGCTATATCCCTGAACACACAGAGATCTATGGGATTAAAGGCGTGTGCCACCACCGCCACACTCTTGCTATGGCTCTAATAGCTCTGACCCCCGGACAACTTTATTTATTAACATACAATCAAAATAATATTTCAGTACAATTAGATTACCACCACAGAGATCCGCCTGCCTCTGCCTCCTGAGTGCTGGGATTAAAGGCATGCGCCACCACCGCCTGGCTAAATATTATTTTTAAAGTATAAATTTTTAAATGTAGCCTTTATATTTCATTACCAAGCATTTGAATTTGCAGTATGCCACACAAAAATCAGGCCAAAGAAATCATCACATTGATAGAACTTAACAACTACATACAACTTAAGAACTACATACTGTGCTTGTGGTTTGGGGGTGGGGGTGTGCACATTACGATGTTCTCGTTGCGATTCAAGTAACCCAGTGCTACTTAGCAATACCAATCATTAGACAAAGGAATGGACAGGATAAAATGCACATGATTTGGTGGGCCCTGTTCTCCTCGTGTCCTCGATCCCCTCTGACTCTTGCAATCTTTCCTTCTTCTCTTCTGCGGGGTTCCCTGACTTTTGAAGGACCCAATGGAGACCTCTCGTTTAGACTCTCCACTGAATCTATTTTCAATAAAAAAGAGGGAAATGCATGTGAGAAAGGACTGTGATGTAGTCTACTGAATTGCTGTCATTTTCATTCTGTTATTTCAGACCAGTTGAATTTTCAGAAACTGCATACCCACGAACTGAATACCACAGACGACAACAACAATTTTGGGACCCTATTCGACTGTCTCTTTTCACGTTGGCAATCGCGGCAATTGTAGGAATCACAATTGGCATTGTCACTCACTTCGTTGTTGAAGGTAAGTCTCCTGGCCCTGTTCCTATTGTACAAGTGCACTCTGTTGCATAAATTGGACATTTTGAAGACATTCAATGGTAAATCTAATATTTTATTGATGTAAAAGTGTAGTTTGCTAAGAACAGAAAGCCTGCATTACACATTTCTAAATATTAAAATTTTAAATAGGCACCATGCTGAGAGGCACATGTAAATGAAACACAAAGAAGAATTTTTAAAAAGGAAAAAAATTCTTTAGAATAAGGACAAATAATGTCAAGTTATGGGCTTGACTGCCCTTCTCAGAATCAATATATTGATGAATCACCTCCAGAAAGCTTGTGATAGATATGTCTCAGTAGTGTTAGCTAGTAGTCCCAGCTGGTCAGGAGACTGAAGACCGAGAATTACAAGTTCAAGGACTACCTGGGTTACAGAGTGAGATAAAGAACAGCTTCATCAAATGAACAGCCTGTCTCAAAATTTAAGAATTAAAGAATGCTGAGGATATTGTTCAGTAGAAGAACAATTGCCTAAGAGGCACTAAGTTGTGGATTCAGATCCCCAATACCACAAAGAAATAAGGAAATGGAGAGAGAGAGAGAGACAGAGAAGAAGGAAGGAAGGGAAGGAGGGAGGGAGGGAGGGAGGGAGGGAGGAAGAAGGAAGGAAGGAAGGAAGGAAGGAAGGAAGGAAGGAAG